TCGACACTTTCCACGCCTTCAGCGTTGTTTACCTTCCTTCTCTTTGAATCAGCTTGTCCTCTCTCTCTAGCTGGGCTGTTGTCTAGGGTTCTTTTGTTCTCAAACTGCAGGTTGACCATTTTTTGCTCCTTTCCAATTTCGTCTTCATTCTCTTTGAGCTCGATTATTTCCTTAGTTCGTTTTTGAAAAATTTCAGGTTCCTTGCTCTACTCCTGTTCGGCCTGTTCTCTTACCGACTCCAGGTCCCAGACCAGATCCTTTCGTGCCTTCAAGTTCTACTCCCTAATGAAGCGGGAGTCATTCAGGGGGATAGCATCGATCTTCGTGGGATTGCCTGTTTTTTTCCCTGTAGCCTTTTTCTGCCATCTGCTGTCAGCCAGGGGGAAGATGTCGGGGTTCTTAATTGTGGCCTCCTTATCTAAGTAATGCCAGACCCAGTCTGGTTCTTCAAGATTATCATCAAACACCGATCCATCACAGGTGGAATCCACTATGAACCAAGTGTCAAGGTCTTCTTCCCCCTCCCCCAACATATTGGGGAGGAGCAGAGCGGCGATGCCTTCGTAGAAACTTGGATGGACAGTTCTCTGTCATGAATTGCGAATTTCCATTCCAGCTGGAAAACCAATGGATCACCTCCAGGATTGCTATCATCGTGCCGCAGTGGGGAGCCAAAAATTCCAATGTTGGCAAAATCCATTTGAGGATTTTGTTCGCGGGATACTGCTTTTCCAATCTGTCGACCAGGAATCCATGAAACCTGGCTGGCCCAAAAATTCTCCTCCATGTAGGTTGCATTTGGCCGTTGGTTCGTTTGTTTTTTCCAAGTTGAAATTGTGCAGACCAAGCCATTGCAATTTCTTGATTTCATTTCAGATACGATCAGCATGTGCTTTGCATGGTTGAACACCACCATGATCGAGTTGTGTCCCAGCCTTCGTAACGAGAAAGCATAGTTGACATTTTTCATTGTTTTTTTTTTCTCAACTGTTGCAATCACCCATTTCTTTTTCCCGCTAGCATAAGCTCAGGGCCACTTCTTGCAAAAGCTGGAAATCACACCATGTTTCTCGTGGAATTCATCCAGTTTTGCCACTTTCCCTTCTGGGTACCTCCAGACTACACTTTCTTCATCCGGTTCCTCCAGACTACACTTTCTTCTTCCTTACCTTGCATGTTGGCAAGAGTCTTTTTCACTTGTACACCTTCGACCTTGGTTTACTCGATGAGAAATTTTAAAGCTTCATTATCAACCACACTCGATGTCATCTTGGTTGTCTGAAATGACCGCATCGCTGCCGACGAGTATGTGGCAACGGTACGGCCATTGCTAGGGGCTTGCATTCTGCTGTTCGACAAAACACTTAGTCCTTTACCCATAGGATGGAAAGAGAGAGTGAGAGAGAGAGAGTTTGTTGAAGATGGGAGCAAGTTGAAGTTAAAAAAATGAGATCAGAGGAGCGCGGGGGCCGAGGGTGGACGATACAAGGGTGTTGGGCCGTTTTTTTTTTTCAGGCGCTGTTATCCTGGTGGGTTGTCGGGTAAGGTGTCACGACTGCTGATTGTACATTGGTGGGAGGACTAGTTCGGAAGAGTGTGAAGGCAGTGGACAACAAGAAGGGATAGCAGGAGGCGAAAAGAGAAGAGGATTAGCGACCTGGCCAGTACATCGCAGTACTGGCTAGGGGGTGAGAACTTATCAGGGGCGCTTGAGTCGGGAGCGGAAGGGGTTTGAGAGTGCTGGGGTGGTGGGGGGGTGTTAGTATTTGGAGGGGGATCAGTCAGGAAGAAAGAATTCGCAAGTGTAAGGTAGTGGGGGTCCACACCAGTTTGTATCGTTGCCGCCCTAACTCAAGTTTTCGATTGCCACCCTCGTCTGAATCTGGACTTGAGACCAGCTGACGTGTGCATCTGCTCGTCTTTACTTGTTCTTGTCGCCGCTTGAAGTACCTTAGGCGCTTTATTACCCGTGAATGAAGTCCCCTTTCCTTCTACAGGGCGGTGCAGAAAGATTGCCGAACAGGATCTTGTATTATTTCGCAGTGGGCCCTTTGCCCTTCTGTCATGTAACGGATCCCCAGGGTCGTACGCCGTTCATTCCGTAATTGGAAAAAAAGCAACGGGGAATCACAGGCTACGCTTGGAATCTTCCGGTAGGGGAGATGCTTGTGACTCGCCTTGGGATCTTCCAGTTTCGAAACTTGGCCTCACACGATTTCCTCCACTGTTCTTCTCAGTCCTCTTCGCGTTTCTGCTGCCGCTTTTATTGTCGTGTTGTCGCGAGCTCTGATTTGCTTCGACTTAGATGCTCCTCTCGAAATGACCAGCTAGATAGCGGTTATCCTCCTTATGAGTATGACCCCTGAAGCTCTCCGTCCTCTTCGAGATCCGACTCCCTCATTGTTGCGGCACACTCCATTCCTACGTCCTCTTGGATGCTTCTCCCAAAACTGGAGGCTAGGTCGTTTAGCGCCCTACTTCGGGATGGACCTCAACGGGATGAGTGGTGAGATTGTTCCTTCCATTGTCGCTACAGCTACTCGCCTAAGCGCTGTATCGCGCAGCGCCCCCACAGTGTCTCTAACCCGAACGCTAGCATGCCAGGTGCGAGACACTCGACGGTGCGGCCGTCGACGCCACGGCGGCGTGGAAATTAGCGCAAATTAGCACTTAACGTGCAGCGCGTTCGCTTCAGTTTCCTGCCTGAAGTATACCTAAGGCTTGCTGATGCTTGCTTAGGAGACTCACCGCAGACAACGAGGTTGAAGGATGGACCGGACCTCATGTATGCATACACTTCTCCCCCATCATAGTATTTGCGCTACTAGTGTGATTAAGTTCTAATAACTCAAAGAAAGAAGGCACTGCTCTACCTTACTCTATACATTTCTTGGATACGTTGTAGTCTTGTTGGTGCCTTTTGCTAGCCTAGTTCCATAGATGGTCCCCAAGTGTTGGAGTCCTCGGTATGTTGCGACTAGATGGGTTGAGTGGTCTGAGTCGCAACCAAAACTTCCAAGTTGATTTCTTCGTAAATTTTCCGGCCTCTAGACTCTAGTATAAGTTTTGGGAGTTCACTTTCCTTGGGAAGTGCTACCTGGATTTCTATTTTTCTGAAAAAAAAACGTAACTCGGTTAATATCGCACCGACTCAAGTTAGAAAAGCACTTCTGTTATGTTTGGGTTCCCCTAAGGGCGCATTCTGGGAGGCAAGAAAGGGATCATGACATAATCGCAGTGAGTTCGGGCCCCTCCACGCTACTGTCGACTCTCTCCATCCGTTGAGGCCAGCCCCATATAGGACACACCATGATTTCCCCATTTGCTCGCATCGCAAGTTTTGCCCTCCTTTCTGGGCGCGTCCTCTCTCCCACAGTCAGACTGAGTTTGGAATGCCCGATCACATTTTATCGCTGTCTCCCCTTCCAGATGATCACCGGTCCATCCTTTCTCTCTTTTCTTTCTCCCTTTTTTCAAAGGGTGGTGGCCTCGATATATCATCATTTAGCGGGCCAACCCCAGGTAACTCAGAATCAGTTTGATACTATTGATAGTATATTGATCAGAACCTGGGTCTGTATTTCAACAGGCCATCGGTGTACCAACTCACCTGCCAGTGGGCCCCCGTTGGTATACTACCGTCTTCACCTGAATAGAACGCCCGGTCATATAGCCATATTTGGTGCACTTTTCAGTCCAGATACAGCTATAACAACCGGGCGTTCTATTCGGCTGAAGACGGTAGTCGATCCCTTCCTATGTTATAGGATTTGAGCTAGGTTAGTGGCGTGTCCATATTTGGTCAAATTCTTTGTGCGCGCGAGGGGGCTCCCCTTGGTAACCACCACCACACTTGAGCCTCAGTTTCTTCATAGAGTTCTGTGTTTCATTGCTTTTTTGAGCCAATGCCGGGTAATGGCCCCGGTATCCTAATTTTCAAAATTCTATCCTTAGGCTATATTGAATTGGATTTTCGAGTAGGTTCCTAGTGACTGTCTCATTTCCATGAACTTTCCTGATGGGTTGTCTGAATGTACTCGTTATGGGACGCTGGGCCCGGTTCCCTGTCCGTGCCAAAAATAAAAAATAAAAAAAAATACGGGGTTGCACTGGGAGCTATTCTTCGACTTTCCAGGAAAATGTGACGGGCAGGATAAAATTATGCGCACGTGATGATCTGATTCATCTCAGATACTCGATCTGTGTCGACGCAATTATATTCGGATGTCCCGCAGGACACACAAGCACCAGCTCTCATCGAATTCCACGAAAATGCATAAAAACAGCAGCCGGAGGGCGTTCGTTCAGCACAATGCATGCAAGCAGTAGTCTAAGAGCTCAAAACGAACTTCAGGAACCATTTCAAGCAATGCCATATCATTTCTGCCCCAGAGGGTCCTGACCCTTCCCCCCACCCTGCCTGTCCCTGCCCCATGGCATTACGCAGTATTTTTCCCTGGCACGTGACCCGCCCTACCCTCCTCTCTGATGGGACGCTGGGCCCGGTTCCCAGCACGAGCTGCTCCCGTTGTCATACAAGCGAAGCAAAGTCCCTCCATACATCCCCAGCAAATTTCAGTGTATAACTTGAATGCACTGTCCTCCCATATAGATCCACAAAATCCCAAGGCATCGAGTCGTTCCCCTTCCACAAAATCCCAAGGCATCGAGTCGTTCGCCTGGCAACCAAAAGGCTGCTCAAGTGCAGTGAACAGATATCTCTGCCGCTGTCATTGGGAACCCAAGGTTCCAAGGTTCACAAGCGCTGGAGAAAAAAGTACATCACCTCGACGAAACGACACCCCTTCACACACCACCGCAAGGAAACGGCACCCCTTCGCACAGACCACCTCGAGCAAACAACACCCCTTCGCACAGACCACCTCGAGCAAACAACACCCCTCCCCCTTCACACAGTCCTCTCACAAGGTAATACAAAAAAGAGATTGTTCCCAGGAAGTAAGCGTCTCCGCTTTCAAGTTTCGCACATTCCTCAACCGTCGGTCGGGACACTTGGAATTCATCACTGAGAAGAACAAATGACCATCGGCAACTGAAAGTCGACAAATTGATGAATGTTGCCCAGAGATTGACTGGCTAAGGGTGAGACTGTGTATGCAAGCAAGCTATGAGAGGGAGGGCAGTCGACAGTCGGAGGCTTCACTAGCAAGACTTAGTAAAGGATTCCAAAGCGAATAATATTATATATGAATGTCTGAATCTATGTCTATGTCATACATAAAGGAGGAGACTATACTGTGTGTAGTATAAGCATCCATGATTCCACATGTAAGCCGAAGCTGCATCGCATCACGTACGTATATACTATATATATATATACACATAATATAGAGTCTCAAGGAGCTCCGACCAGCACAGATCTGCTCGGTGCACCGGTACCCAAGAGGAGGAGGAGATGAAAAAGATGGACGGGCTTTGGCAGACCGTCTCCAGGAGATTTCGCCAAGCTAAACCCGTCACGAGGCTGAACCCTCAAGACTCTAGAGTCTGTGAAGCCCCTTAACAGATGACCGCTCTGTACTACGCGATAATCCCTTCTTACCCTCAATCGCAGGTGGGCACCAACTACTGCCGGTTTTTTTTTTTTTTTTTTTTTTTTTTTTTTTTTTTTTTTTTTTCCGTCTCTGTGTACCCATGACTTAATTCAAAGCAGGCTATCACCCACCCACGGCAGAGCCACGGAAGAAGAAAAACTGTACAGAGTGTATAGGTTCCGACCCCATCAAAAGCCATCAAATCTGGCACATATATGTATATATATCGTATATATATATCGTCAAATAGAACTGCCCGGTAAACCGTAGGCAGAGAGGGAGAAGAGGACAACAAACGAGGGGCTGTGACAAACTGTTTCGTCGGAGTTTCACCGACTCATCAGGTATATATGTACATATATAAGGGCCTTGTGACCTGCATTATTACCTTCTGGAGCGGGACCATAATATAATAATAATAATAATATCCTGTTATAAGTCTACATTAATTCTATCATTATTACTTAATTACTTAATGACGAAATTTACGTTGACAACATATCATCAGACCATTTCTGTGCATATAGTTAGACCAACTTGCCTAGCTCAGTGGGCACACCCCTGAACTGTTGAAATACAGACCTGGCCCGAGTTCGAACTCCGCTGGACGTAAATGAGAAAAATTCTACAACTCTCGTAGATTTAGGCGTCTTAGGGGAAAAGAAAAAAAAAAAGCATGGCAGCCATCAGCAACTGACGGCACAAAATTGCTAGTGAGGTGTTCCACCATGTGAGGAGTTCCGACGTGCACCCTCTCCTGCAGTGATCCTCTTGGACTGCGAGTGGAAGGCTCAAGGAAGGGGGGAGAAGGGACCGCTAGTGCTACACATTGCAACCGCCTTCTCCTCCAAGTCCTTCATCGCCTTCCCCCGATGATCCCAGATATCCACAACGCTCGACCGGCACAATGCTCAACGAATAATTTGAACACAAGCAACAATTCCTCCTCCTCCTCCTCCTCGAGGAGGCCGTCAACCATCACCCTCTCTCTAACCTATGTGCCGCTCCTGGACAAAGTCCTTGAGGCGGTCACGGTACCAACTGAAACGTCCGAGTCTCGATGCAGCAGTCGATTTCCAAGAAGTCTACGTGCCGCTCCTCATTCTCTCCAAGTCCTGAACACTAACCAGCAAGTCTATGTGGTGAAGTCAGTATCCACAAACTCCTCACTACTATAATGGAAAGGTGACATTGAGATTGACACCATTATATGGTACGTCATCGCAGTCACTGCGATGGACCATACACTCCCATAATAGTTAGCTAGCGAAGGTAGCTGCGGCGGCACCCATCCTCTCATCCACCCGCTATAATTGCAACCGCGAATTACAAAAGTGGGAGCTATAATTTCCTCAGCCAAAAGTGGGCGGGACACTCCGACCACGAGTGTCGATCGATGTATGGCCGTGTATGTATCCATATGAGAGCACCAGTCTCTGGAGAGTGCAGCGTCTGCCGTCTCAGCGACACACTTACCTTGCAACATACACGCCCCAATTAGTCAGGCCTCTGCCGAGTGGACCTTCCCCATTGTAACAGATCATAACAGGCAGGCGCAGATCCGATTCCGAATCAACAATGTCTAGTAGGCCAAGCCATAGCAAGTGAAGGTCCGTACCTCAATCGACCATCACGGTGCAGGCGAAATCATAAGTCTCCGGAGTGCGGCATCTGCATCTTCGCGACAACACGTTGATATTGCAATATGCCTGCATTACGCAGCATCTGCCATGTCAACACTTGTCGTGCCTGGCGCCTCCAGATCGGTCAGTGACTGCCAAGCCACAGCGAGCGAAAATCCACCCCTCCATACTTCTTCCATGGGTACACATGATGTCCATCTTTACGAGGCCACCAGACTCAGTCAGGAGTGCAGACTCATGCCGCCTCGACAACATGTTTATCATACTTTGTATAATTGCAACATACCTACAATTAAGTGCCGTCCGGCACTGTCTGCTTTGTCAACACTTGCTGTCTACCCAGCAGCTGAAGATCAGTGTGTAGGCCATATTAAGGCCACCGTGACTCCCGGAATGGAAATCATCCTTCCATCCTTCCGTCCGGCACTGCAATAGTGTACCGTCTGACTTGATTCCGGGCCGACAACATCCCGAGAACTGACACCGACACATGCTAGCGCTAAATGATGATAGCGCTTAGTACCACCTGCCCTCCGCATGTGAATTGCAGCATTGCAAGAATTCAAACACTAGCAAGAAAGAGACCGGAAGCCGGAGACTCCCTCTCCCCTTTTCCATCTCCCTCCTCGAAACCTTGGCAAAAGACGACCCACCCAGGACCAAACGGCTCAGACCGTTAACCATTGTCATGGTTTTAAATTATCATTCCCGCCACTCCGGTGACTGATCACCACCGTGCTCCACTTTTTCTCAGCTCCTCTTCCCACTCTTTGTAATCTTTGACGAAATGAAAAGCTTCAGAACTGTGGAATCGATCGATCGATCGCTTGACAAATGCAATGGGACCTAGTATCTGTACATAAGAAAAAAAAGAGTGATTGAAAGAGAAGTTTGGTTCCTCGCGGGTGATCCTGGTGGCAAGACTCCTGCCCGCTAGACAGGATCTCAAAATTACAAAAGAAAAAAAAAAAGAAAAAAAAAAGGAAGGAGAAAAGAAGATCTATATCATGCGCGACAAGACGTGCACTCCACTATATTAATCAGTTGGGGAGCATCCCCTACATGGCAACCACCGGTCAATGCGCAGGCAGCGCAGAAGCAGCCCTACCAAACAAACAACTAATATGCTCAAGAGCAGAGAGCACAGGGAAAGGAGTACCCCCAGACTTCATGTGCCTCACCCTCCTCACTCTCCAGACTTTGGCAATTGTTCATCTTCCTCGTCGTCATAAAAGGTCCCGTCGCATTTGAGAGATACGATGGAATTCCTGAGCAATTGACTCTCTGCACCAAATTTAAAACTGTCTTCAGGAGTACCCCCAGACTTCATGTGCCTCACCCTCACTCTCCAGACTGGCAATTGTTCATCTGCCTCGTCGTCATAAAAGGTCCCGTCGCATTTGAGAGATACGATGGAATTACAGAGCAATTGACTCTCTGCACCAAATTTAAAACTGTCTTCAGGAACAAAGCCTCTCCATCAAAGGCCCGAAAACCATATGAAACCAAAGAAGAAAAATTAAAGGTAAAAAATGACCTTTCCCGACCGAAATCAGCGCGTCAAGCACCGACATGTAGACAGTCCTCCCTCCTTGCACCAGAGATAATGACCGAGATGCAAGGTGCAAACGCAACCTGAGTCTCAGCATGGTTACCCATCCACACAGAAGAACCGGTCAACCGTACATAAGAATCGGGAGCGTTGGAGCGAAAAACTTAATACACGAGGTTAACCTCAGAGCCTCAGACTGCTCGACGTGAGTGCCGACAACAGTGACACGCCAGCACTCGTTCTAGAGGCACAGAACTACAACAGCACTCAAGTCACCACGCGCTCCACAACTCCAGACATATCGTGGGCACCAATCAGACTGAAAATTGGGACATTAGAGCGGTCCCTATGTAGCTCTCGGTCCTCGGCTTCTGTAGAGACACAAAACTACAACAGCGCTCAAGTCACCACGCGCTCCACGACTCCAGACATATCGTGAGCACCAATCAGACTGAAAATTGGGACATTAGAGGGAACCCTATGTAGCTCTCCGTCCTCAGCTTCCGTAGTTTGTGCAGAAGCATGGCCCACCTGCTGCTCTTCACAATAGAGCTTCCTTGCAAAGAACTTCAAAATATCATCATCATTCCTTCTGCGTTCGCGCTGGTGGAATTTCGCTGACAAGTCGAAATGGAACTGAAGCAAGGCGTCAACTTCAACCAGAAGGCAATAGAATTGCACACAGACTGAAACCCGTCAAACACTTCCGACTCTTGTTCACAGCAGAGAGAGTCACACAAACCATATAATTCCATCGGACCGCCCAACGGAACCAGGTGGTGCCACCAAACCTCCTCTGTGAGTCTACTACTATCGCTCAACTCACGTGATGTCGGTCCAGAACCTCTGGGCTGGGCGACCAAACTGCCCGGCACCAGATGATTCCTGTATGATCTGAAATAAACCTCCTAAGCGTGCATCGTCGACGAGATGGTTACTTATTGAGAAGGAAGACTACTAAAAGCGGCCGGCACGGGAGGAGAGGGGGGGGGGGGGGGCATCTTTAAGAAAATCTGAAAACTGTTGAATCTGCGAGAGGGCCGCATGCACCCACGCAGCAAGCAGAGTCGCAAACACTGCTTCATGTATGAGGGAGAAATGAAACTTTTGCATTTCACTTTCGCTCTTCAAAGATGGCTTCGCACTTCAATTAAAGCTAAAGCGCTGTTTGAACACCGCCCATCCAGCTCGAATTGAGCGATGTTATAAACAAAACAACAGTTTAATCATGGAAAATCATATTCAGGAAAAAAAAAAAAAAAAAAAAAAAGAGAAATGAGAGAAACAAGACAGCCTACGTCTCCAAGCACACCTCCCCTCCCCTTCGCAACCTTGTAGTAGAGCACCACCTCTCCTCACATGCTCCTCCTTTTCTTCCGATGTCAGCGAAGGGATGACAGATGTGGAGGACACATAGCATTAAAATGCTGATCCCTGACGGTCGCGCCTTGTGAGCTGTCTCTGGGTTGACCCCTCCAAGAGATACCTTAGCGCCGACAGAACAGGACCTGGTCTGTCTCGCACGAACTCACATTGTCACAAGGGAAAAGCGCATAGCATACAATTCAAGCCCATTCTCTGCCTGTGAACCGTCGATAAGAAGGTCCGGGAATGGGGTTCGGAATACCAACCAAGGATGGTCCACGACTCAGGAGCGGAGCGCGTTCCTCTAGCCCTGAGTCAGGAGAGGACAGGACATCTTCTCCTTGCGATTTCCGACTTCACGATGGCGGCCATGCTGCTTGTTGAGATTCCCAACAAAACGATGGAGGGAACGGACACAGGCAAAAGTGAATCCCCTCACCTAACATCTTTTTGGAGATACTAAGCGATTAGAAAACATTTCTTGAGGCCGATATAATTGCAGACCGTTCGAGCCGAGAAATACGTATACGTGCCGAAGTGGATGTTGGGACTCGTCATCCAATGACTACCGTCTCTCAGGTTCTAAATGTACAAATTCAAGATTGCGAAGACGAAGTAGGAAGCAGGTGTGCAACGTAGATAATACGGAACGAAACCATCTTTTCGTCCCAAGCCCACGCACATCAAGCGCATGCCTGCCCTGAAGAGTACCACTAATCAAATGGCGGCTGCAGAAGTAATGAAGTAGGGGTACGGTCATCAAAACTTGAAGAAGAGGGATAGAAGAGAATGTCTCTCCTCTGGGTAGTGAAGGATATCATAAAGTAGGCGTCCGACAACTATCTTTGACTATACACATGTAACATGCGATGAATCTCTAATAAGGAGGCATATGCTCGGCAAGTTGCCGTCATGCATTCTAGCGTCGATCTTTCTTCCAAACTCTGCCACCAACCAACACAAAGTCTCAAGCAAAGGGAAAACCACATGGGATTGGACAGAGCGATCCAGTGTGTGGCCATCCCTGGGATGAATCAGCACAACCTTGCCATGCTCAACGCGTACTAGGAGACGGAGAACGAAGCAAATGGGGGACAGTCAAATGTTCTCTTAAATTCTCTTCGCCACTGAAGTATGAGCAACATGTGGATGGCAGACGTCAGATGATGTCCACATACTCAGAGATTTGCGCCAGACTCCTGATCAATGCTGTTCGCAAGTTGCGAAGCAGAGACTGCGCAAGTTCCAATCCTGTGGTCTACGTACGACCTGAAACCACCAGTTCATGGGCGCGGCAGCTGGATAACCTGTTTTGAGCCTCTCCTAAAATTTAGGGGGCCGACTGCCATAAGATAAAAAATAAATCGGCGGCGGGCGTCCTCCGAAAGGGGCCTGCGGACGATAGCTGGGATGTACTGGTGCTTCAACGGATTCTCCTGCTGCTTCCATCTCCAAGACTCCATGAAGAACAAGCGAGCTCTTCACTGTGACGACTCCTAAAGAGAATCCACGACAAAGCTATACACCCCGAATGTGACAACTCCGTCCACTGCAAAAGCAACGAGGACATATCAGTGCCAACCATACCGACGACTGGCTGCCACTCTGGTCTTGCAACAGCAGAAGTGCTTCCCTCAGCACCCACTTGTCACGCAAACATGCCAGCTGCCTCCTCCGATTAAATCCGATGAGATAATCTCCTTCGACGTAGTGAAATAGCTGTACAGCGGCTCAGAAAGCATGAACGTCATGCGTAAGACTGGAGAGCAATCCAGACACCCACCTTCTATTCGCTCTAGTTTCTGGTCCTGTGTGCATGAAGTAGGATACCCGTCTATCGGATAGAAGGTTGCTGGTTGTGTGCTGGTTGTCTTGTACGTCGTACGTTCCTTCAAACAGCAAACATTGTGGCTCGTTTCAGTCTCTATGGATTTGAAAGAAGATCTCCCTCAGAGATTCTTCCAGTTGGCAAAGTGCTTGGCTCGACTCCGACAGTCCCTGCTCCTGCGCACGCAGTCAACCACAAACAATCACATTCAGCCGCACACACATTGAACAATCACCCAATCATCCGATCAGACGAGCGGTTACAGCCACACATAACATTTTGATCAGAGTGCCCTTAGGCTACTGGGGGAATGGAAGGGGGCTGCAGTCGGAAACACACAAAAGGGGGTCAATAGGCATCATGTTGAAGACAATATCAATCCAGCAAGATGAGCTGTACTTCAGAAGTTCAGAGAACACGTAGGAAATGCAGAGTGTTTGCCAATGGAAACATAGAGTGTGAGGTGCCTCTCCCTAGGCAGTGGTGCAAACGATCTGTCGGGCACAGGACCTCTCCCCCTTCCACCGAAGATCGGTGATGCTCATATAGATGCAAAGCTCCAGGGCGCTGTACCTGTGTTTCTGTATCTCTGCGCGTTGCAACGGTGATATCAAGTTCAGTTCGTAAAGGACTTCCTCTTGCATCTGAAGCCTCTCACAAGCAAGCATTGCTGCCAAGTTCCGTATCGCATTCTGCCCATGCAACAAGCAGCAGTACTGCGAAGCAGACACCGGCCAGGTTCTGCATCACATTTAGCAACCAACATCATCTAACCCACCCGGAGAGAGAGAGAGAGAGAGAGAGAGAGAGAGAGAGAGAGAGAGAGAGAGAGAGAGAGAGAGAGANAGAGAGAGAGAGAGAGAGAGAGAGAGAGAGAGAGAGAGAGAGAGAGAGAGAGAGAGAGTTCTGGACCGCTCTGAACCAGCGGTCCAAAAATTTTGAACCAAATTGTAGAAAATTAGATCCACATCCCTCACTCAGAAGCAACGCTTGCATGCCTAGCCAGCTAGGATTGGTGGAGCAGAACGTGAGAAACTCACGCCCTGGCATATTTTCCTGCTTTAAACAATGCCAGGCGTGGCTAATCATCCTAGCTAAATCAGCCTCGAGAACTGAACACACTCACATGAGCAAGAAAAGTCTTAGAGGAAAACAAAGACGAACGGATACTCTTGCTCTGACACTTCCATGTCTTGTGAATGTGTTGCCCGCAACCTCATGCCCTAGTGTCTGTTGCTCGCAACCTGCCTGTTAAAGGTCAAGAGAAAGATACTTCTCCCCCTCTGACCCCATGAAAGTGAGCATGAAACACAATCTCAAAGAGGAATGTCTGTTGCCAGCAACCCGCCTGTTAAAAGTTAAGAGAAATATACTTCGCCCCCTCAGACCCCATGCAGGTGAACATGAAACACAATCTCAAAGAGGAAACTCTGATCGACCGAACTGCGACGACGCTCATGCCAAAGATGATACACTGTTATCAGTGTTATAGTTTCTTCCACTCGTTTTCATGTCCCAGCAATGCCAAGCGGATCGGAAGCACCTGGTAGCCACTTCAAATGCGCCAACCAGAAAGCGGGGGCCAACACAAGAGAAAGGGGTATAGTACTTACGTCCTCAAATCCTATGTTAACTTGAGTCCAGCCTTTTTCAACGTCCATCGTCGTCCTCCTGACCTGGAGCTTGAAGCTCGCAAGCTGGCACAGAATGCGTGCAAGGCAATTTTCACTGTATCCCTCAGCAGGATAGCTCAGCACAACCCTCTGCACACACCCATCTGTCTCCGCAATGTGAAACTCGCACTTTACCACTCCTTGGGAAGCCATCGATGGCGAAGTGGGATGACTACCTTCGTCCTCGGCAACATGCAGCCCCTTTTCCTTCCCCCTTGCTGCTGCACTGCAACTTGCCAGCGCTCTTCTGGATACCTCTTGCATTTCGCAAGGACTGTGCTTTTCTGCTACCCATCTCCTGGACAGAACTTTAACTGCCCCATGGACACTCTCCTCCCCCACCTTCATGGTCACTGGGTCTTCATCCATTGACACTGCCCCCGTCGAGGCTGCATCAGAGTGCACCCCGACATCCGAATCCGAGTCTTCATTGCCTGCACTCAGAAGACCTTGCGCGTTTCTCTCCTTCTCTGGATTACTAGTTTCACATGCCCCTCCACTCTGCTGGCGAATTTGAACCCCCGCATCCACGTCCTGTTGTGTGTCCTCACGATCAAATGCCAAGCCCCCCTCCTCGTTCCCCTTTCCCTCCGCAGCTAGAGACGCTCCAGAGACCCCCCGGCATGCTAGAAGTTCTTGGAGTCTGCTAATGTACCGTGTCGCACACTCCAGGAGATCAGCCTTTCCTCTCTGCAAAAGGCAACGTCGAAAGGATGACGGAATTTTTGAGCCAGGTGTACGTACATACATTGGGACTGTTGATAAATCGATTCTGAGTTTATTGATACGTAAACCATGACCTCAAATCCTCCGGAATACCACCAAGGTTAGGGATTAAACCCCTTCAAGTTGGGAAAAGAAAGAGGAACAACTGAAAAGGAAGTGAGCCAGTTGAGAGCCCAGGACCACACGAATTATCATCGCCAAAACCCCTTCGCAAAACGCTCAACAGTCTGAAACAGTCAAGTTGAGTCAACAGAAACAGAAGCTCAGGGTCTTCCTGCACGACACCACGAGACAGGTGAGGGCCAGGTTGCGCCCAAGGACGAGCATGCCACAGAGGCTCAGGGTCTTTTGGGTTTTCCTTCATGGTCCTCGTTTTTTTTTCTTTTCATCACATGGGGCATGTGCACTTTTCAGACTTTACCATCTGTATGTTTTATTTTTTGTCGTTTTTCCTTGGCCCAGTTGAACCCAAACCAAGGGAGCAGAGACACTGTTTCTTATCTTTTTTCTCGGCCTTGAGTTTAGTGGCAATTATTCCCTTATGCCCAGCCGAGTTGACCTCCCATGAAGGAAGAAGTATTGTTCGAATAGAAATACAAGGTACCTGCACGACAAGTACATGTGTGACGTTTACTAAGCAGGCAGGGGGTAGAGAGAGAGAGAGAGAGAGAGAGAGAGAGAGAGAGAGAGAGAGAGAGAGCTGTCTCTTATACACATCTAGATGTGTATAAGAGACAGGTCAGAGAGAGAGAAGCCTATTGGGCTGCTGTTGTAGTGGAGGCGATCAACAGCCAGGAGGATGGGGAAGGAGGGAAATGGATTCCGGTGCAAAGTTGCGATCCAACCACGGATTCTGTAATTGCTTGTGTTGTCGGATGGTGTCCGCATTCATACTCTGTGACCGTGCATGTGCAGACCTGCGCTTAGCTCACGCTCACATACTGCCTCTGGTTCATATGAGTTTCTGCTAATGATGGTTTTTACTTGAAGCACACAACTCTGTACTGTCTGTGCGCTGCTTAAAGTTTGCCTTCCTCAGTGGGCGACTTCCTATCATTTACAGCTGACCCTCTCTGCCCCGAGCGGAGCTGCTGTGCATCGATTTGTTTTAACATAATAACACCACTGTGACATGCGTTCCCCAAGTAGGGGGAAACCAGACCTGGTTAAGTGTTACATTTGTTTTCTTGATTTGCACATTGACAATTACCATACACTATTTAGCATTGACCTAGGTTGTTTTTCTGGGTACCCGGGCGCCCAACTTGTGCCCGGATATACGCCCGGGTTCCCGGCCGGGCATGGACCTCGGGCAGGGCTCTGGGCAGCCCCAAAGCACAATAAAAAAAAAAAATAAAAAAAAAAAAAGAAGGGAAACCTAAAAATTCCAGGATAAAAATATGTTGAGTAGAATTGCAATCCAAACAACCTTTGGCTGAGGGTCGCATCAGAATTCCTCACCGAATCGGAGATAAAAAATAGAATAACAAAATCACACTAAGGCACCCCCCTTTAAAATCCCTTATGCGAGGATCTGGGTCCTCGGCAGGCCTAAGGGGCCCAGTTGCAAATGTGGCCGCCCTAAGTGAAGGCGGGCCTAAAAAATCACGAGAGGCCCTCAGCTGCCAATTTCGTATTTGGGGTCCATGCAGTTGTGACGCGGCAGTTGGTTGAGGGAAACACAGGCCGAGCAACAAAGACATTCCACGGCCTTCTGGGCCTTTCCAAAGTTGCAGGCCCTGGGCGAGAATCGCAGCCTCATACACAGACAGTTGAGAGGCCCAACTGAATGAGGCCTGGTAGCCGCAACAGAGGGACAGCATCCTGGGGCCTACCGGAAGCTTCTGGGCCGAGGCCCAGGCCAGCCAGGCTGCAAAGGCAGGCAGGCTCTTTCCATAAAGGAAATAGCTCGCTGCCTGGAGCCTCATTCAGCACTTGCATGTCCGCGGCAGCGCTGCTGGAGCGAGCTATCGTGAGCTGCTGCTGGCGCTGAGAGGCAAGGTGCCAGCGCGTGCGGTCGTGCAGAGAGCAGGGCGCTGCTGAGGGCAGCGCCATAGCCCAGCCTCCATAGCTGGTTGGGCTTGGACTACAGTGAGGCGCAGGGGTGGTCTTTGGGTGTACAGAGGGAAGACGTGGGAGTAAGTCAGGGGAGAGAGAGAAGGATGATGATGATGATGATGATGATGTGAGGGCACATACCTGGTATTGCCGATGGTCTGCATTGGGCGACATCTTCAAGTACTTCGTGAGCTGCTGACGTCAACAGTTGCATTGTCAATTAGTCGGCAGACTGTAGCTGTGTAGGAAGAAGGCTGGGCTCCGAGTGCCAAGTAGGGAGAAAGGACCTGGACACTCATGTTGGTGGTGGCGAGAGCAAGCTCTCATTGACATTGGCTTTCAGTGTTACGATCCTTCATTGGTGTTGTATTGGTGCATTTCTTCTTTCTGGACACTGTGATACTATCTGGCCTTCAATGTGATTGTGCATTCTGGCATTGCCATCTCGCTATTGCTCATTTTCCTTGCACTTAGCCCCTTTAAAACAAATTTATACCCCCCTTCTCCCCCCTTGACAGCCAACTCTCAAAAAATGGAAAGAGCCCGGATTTGGGATCCTCTGGAAGAGGACAGAGAGGCAAAAAAAAAAAAAAATTGCACACCCGGGTATGGAAATCCTCTGACGTATTGACAGCATTTTCAGTAAATTACCCCTGAGAAAAGAGGCAAGCAAAGCTACCAGTGTGTGAACTCTATCCAGCCCTACCAGGCGCAGCACACAACATCAAAACGTGACCACAGAGACTGAAAGGGCCGGACAGCCAGCTGGACTTACCCTTGGTGCATCAGGGACTTTCCCTCGAAGTGCTTCAAATGCCTGGTTCATTCTTCGCCTCCTATCCCGCTCTGCAATGGCCGTGCTGTTAGGCTCGGAATGTCGTCGTTTCCCGGGCCCCTTTCCTGTCCCCTCACAATCATCAGGATCATCATACATGATCTTCTCCTCAGTCTGTGCTTGGTTTCCCCCACCTCTTCTAGGCCTCTTTCTCTCTGTAGAGTTCTTTTGAGTCTGCTTGTTTTCTCCGCCCTCACTGCACGATACCTCAGGTTTTGAGCATCCGTCCATTTCAGGCTTGGCTGACTGTAGCAACGGGGGGGAGGACACTGGCGCTGACACCAGTGATGGCTGCGAGCTTCTTGTCCTTGCCTGTGATGATGAAACACCGCCATCTCCAGAGCCGGCCCTGGGAGAACGCCTTTTCGGAGCACCTCCGCAATCCACATCAGGGATGGGGCAGGTCATCTGTGATCTCCCCATTTTGGAATGAATAATTGGGCTTTCTGAAGTCACTTGGTACGTAGCGTTTCGGCTGCTGCTGCTCTTCTTGTCATCAAACGCCATCGCTGTCCTCTCCGGTTCTGCATGCTCCTGACTTGAAACTGTGGGCAGGATTTTCTCCACAGAGTCTCCTGATGCATACGCGGGATCTGCGTACGAACCTGCACTGGCTAGCAATTGCTCCAACGAGCCCGGACTTATTGATGCAACACTCTGCTGGTGGGCGTTGCAGGGTCGATCATCTGCGATGCCTAGGCCAATACCGTCCTGCAAGGGATCCATCTCAAACTGTGTTCTCGATATCCCAAAATTGTCACCAGCATGTTGAGAAGGGTCCTCCAGAAAGCCATCTAAACGCGATTCCTCAGAAACGCCATCCAGATCCTCTTCACTAAATCCCAACGAGAATCCCGGGTTCATCTCAGGGTCCCACTTGCTGCTGCTCTCAAAGGGTAGCATCGACTCCCCGGGCCCATAATCTTCCGATGGCACTCTGCTGTACATCACCTCCCTCTCACCCTGATCTAAGATGTCACCCTGACCTTGGATGACTTTATCAGCTCCACCACTCACCAGATGGCTACACATTGTGCCATCAGATAGACTGCCACCAGGGAGGCTAATCGAGTCATAACGAGGTTTCATGGCTACGGAGCTCTCCTGAGCCAGCAGATTGGAGCACAATCCAGACGTAGGACTCGGAGGGCTCCCGTAAGTCGAGCTCGTGATGAGGTCGGACGCACCGCTGATTGTGTCCATCTGATTCCCTGGATCTTCAACCCAATCAATTCCATACATTTCGTTGTCAGAAGCTGCAAAGTCCTGTGACAACGAAGATTGTTCACTCCATGTGAACCTTGCGGCAAGTTTGCCATGTCTCCCTCCTAACATACAAGACATGACATTCATCCCATCAACCCCAGAGAAATTGGCACCCTGAAGATGCCGTGAAATGAGGCCGCCTGCATTTTCCCTGACATCACCCGCTCCTTGCCCCGATCCTACAGAAAACTTGGGATGATATCCATGCAGTATAATGTCATTCGGATAGTTTCCACCTACACCGGCAGCACGATATTTCTGCGTCCTTCCGACTCCAAAAGGACGAGAATTGTTGTCACTGTTTTCAAATTGGCTGTGAGAAGGGGCCGTTGACTCTGCAGCATAAAAGGATTCCACCGCCGTTCCTTGTCTGCGGAACCAAAATCGATTGTGATCCAACCCTGAGACCAGACCGTGTGGGGACTGCTGTATCATGTCAGCAGTCTCATCCACCTCTCCCAGATCATTGGTACTCTCCGCCCTCGGATCAAAGTCGTCATGCCCTTTCACGTCACAACAAAGTTTTTCTACGAGTTTATTGATGGGAGAGGCACCCGCGAGATCCTGGAACCACAAAATAGCAATAGAACCACAAATGAAATCAAGAAAACTTGGTTTCACAGACTCTCGTGTTTACGTGACTGGCCTCATTCGAGCATGTTCATCTTGAGCCCTGCTGCACAACTATTTCCAAATTGCCCGGGATGAAAAAACACGATTACCGGTCCGAAGTGTTGTCTTCTCTTCAAGTGTACTCTTCAAGCTTGAGGGGAATTTGACACTGCCATCCTCTAGGTATCGTCTACAGATCAGACCCCAGTGGTCAAGCAATTGCGCACCCCAATCAAATGAGATTCCTCATTCTCAATACCAACTGTCTAAAACCGCCAGTGCGCAAATCGTCCTTCTCACAAATGCAAGGGTCCCGCCCATACATGCACCGCACTAGATGAGCGTCAACCACACATACACGCTACAATGTGCACCGCGTAAGTGGTGTGCGCACCAAGTGCGGTGCACCAATAAATCCAGAGGTCCCGGACAAAAAGGGTGGGGAGTGGCGTTAGATGTTCCGGTACTGCCAAAACGTGTTTTGAAAGTTTTTTGTGCCCACGTCAGGCCCAAAAAAACCTTGGGGGGAAATCTGAGTAGTTCGTTTTTGAACTACTCAAGACCTACCACAAGGCAGTCCAGAGGTTCCTGGGTAGTGTGTTCTCGTGCCCTCTTCCCCGCTAGTGTGCTCTCGTGCCCTCTGCCAGACATCCACGCCCCCCATTAGTCGCTCTTCATCCCCACTGTCGTTGCGGTGCCCTCACCAGTACAGACGCCAGTTCGAGGCAGCGGAAGGCAGCCGAAGAAACCAGCGGGAGGCACGAGGAGGATTCACCGCCGCTATCAAGGTGGGCATCCCTCTTCCTCCCTCCCTCCATCACTCTTCCTCCTTCCTCCGTCCTTCCTCGTCGGTCTTTCTTCCCCCCTTCCTCCCTCCTTCACCATCGCTCCTCCTCCCTCCTTGATCTTTCATCTCTCCTTCAACATCCTTCTTCCTCCCTCCCTCAACATCGTTCATCCTCCCCTCCCTCCTTCCTCCCTCCTTCCTCCCTCCTTCCACCCTCCTTCCTCCCTCCTTCCTCATGATCGCTCTTCCTCCCTCCGTGGTCCTCGCTCTTTCTCCCTCCTTCCTCCATCGCTCCTTCCTCCCTCCTACATCCCTCTTCGTCCCTCCTCCCTCTGTCACTCTTCCTCCCTCCTTCAACAACGCTCCTTCCTCATCGCCCCTTCCTCCGCCCTTCCGTCATCGCTCTTCCTCCCATTGTCTGCCATCTCCCTTCCTGCCTTGTTCCTCGCTCCGTCACTCTTCCATCGTCGGATCGGTAACTTGCATTCAGTTTGACAATTAACAAATATCGGAGGGAAAAGTAAAAGCTCGAAATAACTGCAGAACCTTCCCCCCCCTTGCCCGTTCATTTTGCCCTTCCCGCCCCCCCCCTTGGTGCTTGAGGAGGGCGGGTTGGTTTTTCATTTCGGGTTCTATTTTTTTTATTTATTTTTTTGCGCGCGGGTTAAGACCAGGGACAGGGTGGAGCCTGTGGGGGTTGGGAGGGAGGGGGGATGTGGAGGAAGGAGGTGGTGGTGGTGGTGGGAAGGGGGAAAGGGAGGGGAGGTGGGCGGGGCGGGGAATAGGGAGTTGCCCACCAGGGGCTGATGCCTGGGCTGTTGGCGGACTGTGTGTGCGCAGGTCAGTATGTCACTGGCAAAGCAGATTCTGCAGCAGCTGAGAGGGGAGTACCTGCAAATTGAACATCTGCAAACGGCGGGATTACCTGGAGAAGAAGAGAAAAAAAAGGCTGCGCGCACTGGGCACACATACGGCTTCCCTGCCCGCACGCCCCAGCGCACCGGGGACTTACGCACACCGCGGACCCCGCATCACACATCAGTGCGCGCATGTGTGTTCCCTGCCCGCACACCCACTGGGGACTTTTGCAGCACACTGCGGACCCCGCATCACACATCAGTGCGCACGGTGCACAGCGGTGCGCGTACATCGGCAATGGGCACAATGCGCATGGTGCACCGCAAGAATGGTCCCACCCATTCCATCCACAAGGTAGAGCTACAGATGATGACGCTCAGACATGCAAATACCATGCACAAACTTATGTTGTCCAAACACCCTACACACAATGGGCACAATGCACAATGCGCATGGTGCACCGCAAGTATGGTCCCGCCCCTTCCATCCACAAGGTAGACCTACAGAGGATGAGTCAGACGCTCATACATGTACATACCATGCACAAACTTACGTTGTCCAAACACCAAACACATTCGCTGAATTGAGTGGGAACCCAAGCTCAGCCTCATAAAAGTCTCTCATTGAGTTTTCCTCAGGAGGTACTTGCCAATCGAGGCACTCTTTGCTTGTAAACTTTTCACATTATGCAACTTGATGTAGACCCGAACCCAAAAAGCTGGCATTTGTGGCCAAGTGCTCGGTGCACATACTAAAGCCAGATCAATTATTACAGAAGACGTTTGATTTGGGGGTGGATAGGCGTATCATTGTCCAGAAGAATAACTACCGAATCCGATAACTGTAGCACAGTACACTAAATTCAAGCCGCCGAATAGAAACATGCATGCATAACACAGCACAAAAGGCTGTTGGGCCGTGTTGGCAAATATCAAGTCGTGTGTTAAGATCAATTTATAGAAATGTGTAGCTCTGGACAGCCCAGCACATCTGCAGCGAAATGACAGTCTGAGAATATCCTATAAAGTGTCGACCTACAGATGAGGAAACAGGCACATAAGCAGATTTGGTTGCTGATGTACGAGCTACCACGAAGCATAGCGAGGAGGAAATAAAGGATAGAATGAAAAACCATGAGAAGACCCATATTAAAGGTTATAGCATGAGGAAACAAGCCCACAAAAGTTCCGGCTTTACCATGCAATGCATGCACATAACAGAGGTCCGGATCTTCAAAGGCGCAGTGATCGGACATGCACTAATAGGAGGACATAGCTGCGGACATGTTTCAACCCATTCA